AACAAAGTCCTGTGCCAACAAAGCACAAGAAGGCAGCCTGCTCTGGTGCTGTTAGCTGAGCCCTGGGTATTCAGGACAGCAGAATAAGAGGCAGAAAGGCTGGTGAAGTGAGCCTCCAGCTGACAAGGACCACAGTGTGGGATCTGGCAGCAGTTCAGTAACACAGCCTCCTCCTCAAGTGTCAAAAAGCTCGAAGCTTCCTACCTTCAGAGGCCACAGCAGCCTCACCAGGCCCCTCCAGCCTTGCATTGAGTCAGCAGGTTCACAGCTAGAGTTCAGGAGGTAGGACAGCCCTTTTCAGGAATTTGTGTAACCCTTCTGCTCATCCCCACCCTATTTTTTGCAGCTCAGCCACAATGCAACGTCAGAGGATGCCTCCAAGGGAGGGAAGGGAGACAGCATGTGAATGCAAGAGACCTTTACCAGACAGTCACATTGAGTCTTCAACCCAAGAGCAGGCTTCTCCAGAGCACGTTGTACCAAAGCACAGACCTATAGGCAGCCTCAGGCACCAACTAGAGGAAGTTACTGTGTTCTTCAACTGCTACTGAGTACACTTGACAAGTTACTTAGTGTCCAGAGCCAGTCAGAGCTGGATACCTGGACCATGCAGGTTTGCAGCTTAGTCATGGTTCCTCTGTCTCACTTCAGATCACCTGGCTGCAACCTGCAGGCTCTGAGGACAGCTGTCACAGGAGCCACTCCCCACTGCCCATGGCCCACACACCCTGGCTTCTGGGTAACCACTGATGCTTTCTGCTGCTCAGGAGAGCCAGACTTCTCCTACAGAAAGCCTCAGCTTCAGCCTTGACAGCGCAGCTCTGGGAGCCCTTTCAGCTTTCACTCAGTTGCCCTCTCTAAGAGAAGGAGCAGTTGTGTAGATGGCCTGCTAAGGAGCAAGGAGATGCCACCAGCAATGCAAGGCAGTTGTCTGGATCCAGAATGTCTGTGTCTGCTGTAAGGTGGCTTGTCACTCTCGTCACCCTCTTCCTGAGAGGGGTCAGAGGCATCCAACAGCCTCCAGGAGCTCTACACTTTAGGCAGCCTCTCACCTGAGCCAGGCACAGAAGCACTTTAAACCCCTATAGATTCACCTGATGAAGGACACATTGGAAATAAGGTCTATGCTCCACTTTCTGACACTTGGAGAGCCACTATTCAGAGCATGGGGTGAAAAGCTGTACTACTGGGAAGAAACAGCAGCTTAAAAGTGCTAGAGCCAGGGAGCTGGCTTCCCTGAGCCTGACTGTGCTCACATGCTCAAGTTTTACCTCATCAAGAGCCTGCCATCTGCCCTTCTCACCAGTGCCCACACTGGAAGCACCACCTTTGATAGCAGTGATACGGCTTCCCAGAAGAAGAGGAGGCAGCTCAAGTGCACACTTAATTGCAGCCCACTGCCACACTAAGGAGACTGCTGGTGGGTTATTCACTTTCCTATCTGCTTGAGAAGAGTTGTGCACATTTAGACCCACAACTGTCCTTCTGTCATAGGGCAGGACCTACAGCAACCTCTCCTCTTCCAAGATGCTCATCTCATCCGGGACAGGTGAGCTCTGCTTGATAAGAGTTGTGCACATTTAGACCCATAACTGTCCTGTCATAGGGCAGGACCTACAGCAACCTCTCCTCTTCCAAGATGCTCATCTCATCCGGGACAGGTGAGCACTGCCTCTGGCTCAAGCAAGCACACAGCTAAAGCTGGGCTGCTGGGGTGTCCCCCTTTGCAGAGAGTTGTTATGCAGCTGCCAGAGATAATATGGTGCAGACTTTACTGTCCTTAGTGACAATATACTGCAGAAACTGCATCTGCTGCCTCTCTTCCAGTCAAACCCTAAATTATACTACTAAAACCTGAAAGCATAAGCAGCTCATGAGTCTCCTGCTGTGCCAGCAAAGCTGCAGACAACGTGTTCCTCTGGAACCTGCAGGGCACTTCATTCCTGCAGCAGAAGCATGCACTTTCTGCAGGGAGGAGTCCCAGAGCTGCCACCTCCACACTGGAAGGAATATTTGAGCAAGAGTAGCTCAGGTGCCACCAGGTCAGCATTGCTCTAAGCACACAGATCCAGTTGAAAATCCAGCTGATGACTGTGCAGCTCACAAGGTGTTTACCTACCTTGGACTCGAGGTAGACATTCGCTGAAGACATCTTTCCCAGTTTGCACATGCAGCAAGCCAGCAAGATGGCACAGAGGATGAAGAGGCTGTCATTGACTAGGGCGCGGGCAAGGACCATCCACTTCAGCTGGTTCTCCGAGACCTCGCCGTGGATTAACATTGCACAAGTTAAGTTCACAACTAAGAAAAGGAGGCTGGTAAATACGGAGCCCAGATACAACAGGACCCTAGAGAGACAGTAGGGGATTAAAAAAAGAGTTCAAGTCAGATAATTCAGGGTCATTCTCCACCCTCTCCCCCATCTCATCAGGGGAGAGTACCTTCCAGTATGCCCAGTGCTCTGCTTGCTATGCAGATCAGACATCCCAGCAAGTTTCAGTAGTTGTATTGACAACCCAAGGCTGCAGAGTGTTTGTTTGAGCTGCTCTCATAATGCATGAGCAGCATAAGTAGTCATGAGTTACAAGACTCATCTTCCGACAGTCAGCTTCTTATCTTGCAGATTTTAAGTGTTGCTCTAGCTCTGCATTAACTCCAGTCAATAAGCTATGAGTCATCACAACCACTGCAACTTCGTTATTGAAAGCCACTGGAGCTTGCATTTTCCATTGTGGGTTTCCCTGGAAATAGCCTGGAAGCACCCAGGCTGCACAAACAGAGGTCCCATCTACAGCTCAAGTCTTGTCCTGCAGATCTTTCCTGGGGTGGGACAGCTCAGAATGACCTCGAGTTCACCCAGTTTGCTGACAGCACTGGTACTGGAATGCTGAGAACATGTATGGAGGCACACAGGATATGCTTTAGCTTACTTGGTACCCTTGAAGCTCCCAGTCCTGCCCCAAGGCACACCATAGGTACAGCATTAGCTGTGCTCACTTTTTGGGGTCTGAAGATCCCATTCCCAGCCCTGCAATGTGAGGTCACCTTAAATGAGCTTTGAAGGTAATGTTAGAAAAGTATAACTTACTTGTACTTGTTGAATTCAGCTGCACATTTCACTTTGAATATGACCTAGGGGAAAGATTTGCACAGTGTTACTTCACATGACCTACAGCTCTTCTTTACAGTTTAAGATCTATACAACAGGGGAGCCAGCATCCAGTTGGACATCTTGAAGGACTCCAAATTATCTATTAGCACCAAGTCTTGCACTTAATCTACTTGCTAGAAAGACCACTACTCTTTCTTGCAAGAGCCAAGCCCAAATGCAGGTGTCCAACAGGCAAACATATTTAATATCCAATGTGACAAGAATTTTAACACTACACCTAAGGACTTAAAGAAAAGCAGGGAGTTTAGCACTCAGCAGCCACTAAGAACATTCAAAAATACATCTACTTTGCCAATGTTCTTTGTTGCGTATTTTTAGGACCTCAATCAGGCTTGATTCCCTTATTAGAGAAGGCCACTTCAGCTGCTGTGCTTTAGCAAGACAAATAGCTGATCTGAAATAGCCCTCTGGTATTAGATTATGGACCTGCAGGCTGTAACAGGCATTTGGAGCTCACAGCTCCCCCACTCTGAAGTTTATAGGCCAAATACACCCAAAAAGTGACTCTGAGGTGTATGAAGTCCTCCAGAGGAAGAAGGCCCAGCCTGCAGAGTTGCACAGCACATTTGACAGATAAGTGTATTAACCTGCAAATAACTGACTGCCATTTGTTTCACTTTTCAAAGAAACACACACTTGTCTAAGAGTGGATCTGGGTTCAGTGAACCTCCTCACCACACAAGGGATTAGAAGACTCAAGATGAAAGTTGCACAAGGATCAGTTCTTCACACGCTGATCCAGCACAGCTACAGCAGGAACTGGGTTCTGTCCTGTGAAAAATGCAGATCCTGGTACAGACCCCAGCAGGAAGGATCCCAGAGCTGAAGTCACATTTGGTTTAAAAGCTCATGTCCTGATCAGAGACGCTGAAGAAAGTTGGGAAGATGTAAAAAGCCATCTTGCCAGATCCAGCAGACATCTACTTGTGGGGTGAGCACAAGACCATGGTGGGATCACTGCATAGGTGTGGAGGTTTCACTGCTTCTGCAAGGAGTCCTCCCTGTCAGCTTCCAGAGTGTGGCTGCAGCAAAGGATCACTCGTGTCTTACAAGGAACCCTTAATCAGCTGCTTTTCTGATGGGATTTCTTGGCTCCTACCTTCCAGCCAGCACTGAGGTAGTAACAGCACTCAAACTTCAGGAATCGGACTCCTGCCAAGAGGATTTCCAGAGACATTTTGGGAGTTGAGGTTGTCTGATCCATTACAGTAGTTTCAAGCATTTGTAAGTCCTCCTACAGAGGATTGGACAGCTTCAGCAACCCTGTTTGAGAGCAAGTTTCACCATCTGGCTCCTCTCACCCAGTCTGAGGGAGAATGAACTCAAGAAGCTCTTAGAAGTGAGGAACAAGATGTGGCACTTCAGCAGAGGGAGGTATCCAACCCCCATGGCTGAGCAGTCTCTGAAGCCCTCTGCCCTGTTGTCCTGGGCCATTCCAGTCCAGACAAGTACCCAAGTGTGGCATAGTCTACTCTGAGCCCCAAAACTCATCTGGGTCACAGGAAACCTGGGCTTTGGAAAGACTACGTGGCGACTTCCAAAACAGAAAAAATCCCCTACATCCTCCTCTGTCCCTAGTTTGCCTGTAGGGTACATTCAAGCACTTTGGGAAAGTCAAAACAGAAATCAAGGACACCCAGCTGGGAAAAACCTCTTGGTTCAGCACCCATTGCACAGCACAAAAATCTATTAGGGCTGTTCGTACTGCTGCTGACTCCCAGAAGAGCAGTCTGTAACCACAGCCTACGAACAGCAGAGCAAACCAGAGTCCCTGGCTTGTACTCCAGCTGGTGACCCTGGGTGACAACAGTCCCTCAGCTGCACAGGAAAAGGCCATCAGCTAACAGAAAGACACTGCTGGCTTCCATAGCAGCCCTGGGCAAGAAAATCTCCCAGAAACCATCCCCTACGGCCCTGAATCCTGGGGACTAAGGCACACAAAGCTGTCTCAGGGTTAAGAGTGCAATGGCAACCTGAGACTCACGCTTGGACTGCTGACACAAAAAGCAGAGGGAGACCATGGCATCAGCCTTACACTTTTATTAGACCCCTACTACTCAGTCCTCTAAGTTCAGGAAGAGAAAAGGCATCGCTTAGTTTACAGTGCTTTTAGTTAAGATGTAACTCATTTGAAGGTTGCTTTTTCTTCACAAGGGCTGTGTCAGTCAGTTACACCAGCCGTGGTGGACACAAACCCGTGTGCATCGTGACAAGGTGATCTTTCAAGGTTTTCAGTGCTGGACTAACTCTGCTGGTTTCAAAGCCCAAGGACAGCTGATGTAAAGGATTCTGCTGTGAAGAAACCAGCACAGAAAGCTCAGAAGTAGTCCTATTCTTCACAAAAATAGGAAATACAGACCCCTGCCCTCAAACAGGTGCATTACACCAAGTTGCTAGTAGCAACCCTTACAGACTGCACAGTTCCTTCAGTTCCTAGCTGAGACCAGCCCCAGAAGTCCTGCTAACAGAGGGCTCTGCTAGCCCAGAGACTGAACATTTGCTCCAAAGCAAGCCTTTTATAACAGTTCAGCAATATTCCCTTGTCTTTCTGGAACCACAAGTCCTTGGTTCACATCAGCACCAGAACTGGGAAGAAGGCAAGGCTGAGAAAAGTGACAGACCTTTTGTTTTTGTGACAAGTAGATATATTTCATAAGAGTGAATACCTTGCTCCCATCACCAAGCCCAGAAATTGAACTTGCTATACGGATGTTCTCAGAGCATGGTTTAGTGAACACACTCAGCCTTAGAAGGTGTACTGGAGGTGTCACAGCTGCTAAGAGGTGACAAGGTGACAAGTCACCAGGTCCCAGATGGCTCTAAGGCCCACTTTCAGTACCTGTACAAGCCACAACCACAGTCCTCACATTAAGCCTCAGATCACACTGCAGCTTGGTTTTGGTACAGTCATTCACAACAGGTCTGAAAGATCCAGAACAATCAAACTTCTCATTGTCTGATGGAATCAAAGTCTCTTTTGCTCCATAAAGAAATCATGAGCCTGGGCTCTCCAGATATAAGACACAACCACGTCCTGCCTTGACATGAGCACAGCCCGCAGTTGCAAGAGCATCCACAGACAGATTCCTTCTCTCACCACCGCTGTTCAGTGGCAAGTGCTAGAGCAGAGCACAGACTATTTTGGGACTACACCCCATAACAAGTGCTCATAGCCCCACCCACCCTTCAGAGAAAAAGCTGGAAGTATCTGTGAGAAGGATCTTTCACCATTCCCACTAAACTGATACCATCCTATGCCATCATAAACACAGGGCACAACTCCCATGTACCCTGATTTCCTAGAATAGCCACTTGCTGGCATGGCCACCTGTTCATTCGGAAACCACAGGGCCCATGGGAATCATCAGCTATGGGATGGAGCAGTTTTGAGTTTAAGCAACCCCTTACCAGCTGTCCCTTTGAGGCAGAGGGCACATGCTCAGCATCTGCTGGACAAGGAAGGTGGAAAAGCACAAGAACGGATGGAGGCTTTTCCAGATTTCCCATCTGAGAAGGCAAGAAAGTACAGGACAGCAAGGACAAAACTCCCAAGCTGGATGCTCTTTTCCATGCTTGTCTGCTGCAGTGCAATTAGAGCAGCAAGGGATGAAAGAGGCTGATGTCATCTCATCAGATTGAACACTTAAAGAAAGCCAGACAGGTGAAAGGTTACAGCCACACCAGTCTGGCAGAGCCTCACCACTCCAGCAGAAGGCCTTACTCATGGTTGCACACAGTTGCTGACTCCCAGGCAAGGCAAGGATGCCAAGTGCTGGAGAAGGGCTTTGAAAGGGTCAAGATGGAGGTGGTTGTGGTGACATTTCCATGTCCTGTGCTCCTGAGAATGACCTGAGGGAAAGCACGAACTGGTAGAGTCTTGGGAAAGGTAGAGTCACTCGAGCAGAAGTCTGGAGCTATTCCAAAATCTAGGCAGAGAAGCATCCTGGGTTGGATACCTGAGCCATTGCTCTGCCTGTTTGAGGCAAGATCAGGAGCAGATCTGAGAAATTCTGACCCGATGGCCTCCAAAATCCAGATTTCCTGGAAAGGAACTCACTCCATTACAAGCTGAAGCAAAGAGAAAGATGGCATTTTTTGGTGTTCCAGGTGGAAATAAGGCAGTGACAGAAGCAAACTGTCACCAGCAAATAAGCATCCCACTCACATTTTGTCAGGCCTCCACATCCCCTGGGAATCTCAGGGACTAGAGGATCAGAAGAGGACAGCCTCTCCCCACAGAAAGGGGGGAACACTGGGCAGTTTCATCAGTTTGAATTTCAGCCCCAGAAGAGCCTGAAGTGCAAAATGCTGCTAGCTCTCCATGAGTATTTGTTGTTTCCTGGACCTCTTCCCTCTTCCCAGCACCATTTCATCCTCAGCTTGTACACAGCCTTAAATCAAGCAAGATTAGCTCAAATAACACAGCACAGGCCATGTTTTCTTCCACTGCTTAGACAAATGCCATTTCTCTAGCGTCTCCACAAAGGAGGCACTGTGTACAAAGAATCAGCCAGGCCTTCAGCACAGAAGCAGCCTGTGCTTTTATCTGAGGACATCTCGGACCAGGATGACACCCCCAGAGCAGCAGAAGCCCAATGCCCTTCTACAGGTTGCCACCAACAGGCCCTCAAGAACTGGGAGCAGACTGGTCCTCCACAGTAGATTCTGCTGGAAAGTCACACTCAAACTCCATACCAGTCATCTCCAGATCTTCAGACACTTCAGCTCAACTGCTGTGGCTCTACCATAGCTTCTCTCCTTCTTCCAGGTAGTAAGAATTCTTGTTTAATTACACCCTAAGACTCCTTTACACAGCTCCTCTTGTGCTTTAAGGGAAGCACTGAACACAGCCAAGCCAGGCATGTCTCTGTCAGCTACCAGAACACACCACCTTCCTGTCTAGAGGAGGACAGGCTGGTTTTATCAGCCTGTTGCCCAAGCAGAGGCCAAATATCAGTAGTCAACATCATGTCTTCTGTTAAAATGAAAGCCAGAAAAGCACCAAAGGCTTTCAGTCCACCTAACTGCACTCTTTGCTACCTCCCACCACTGCGAGATCACCCACAAACACCATAAAGTGCTGAACACCCATCCTGCTCACGACAGCCAAGTGCCAGACCCTCTCTGTAACTATGCGTAAATGCCTATTTTAACACCTAATTTTATCCTTCCCCACTCTAGATTCTGAGCTCTTATTTCCTCAGACAGGATTTCCCTTGGCTCCAGGTCTTCAAGGAAAAAGAAGTGGGGTATATTAAGACAGAGTCCACTAAAAACGTATTATGGGAGGAAGGGAAGCCAGAGAACCTATTTGAATTTACTTTGCCATTCTTTAAAGCAGCCTTTTAACAAGCCTGCAAAAAAAGCAAATCTGCTGTCAAGTCCAGTGACTAGGAAGAAAACAAATACCCAGCCACTTTGTGGCACCAGAACACAGGATCCCTTCCTCAGCTTGCCTTGCCCAACGCACAAACACCTGCCAGTTGGAGCAACGGGTAGGTCAGGCTCCCTTTAACAGACAAGATGGATTATGCACAGGATGCACCATTTGTTATTTTGCTGCCACTCGATCGGCAGCAGATCTAACACCAGCAGCTTTTGCAAGGGGCAGTTTACCCCAGCTTCCAGGTGTTTGTGTCAGAGGGGCAAGAAGCAAAAACAGCTGAACAACTCAACTGCTCCAAGTCTCACATTATCATGTGAATGTTGATGTCCTCAGGAAAATGAAATCGTAACTCCCATCGGTGACACATCGGAGCGATGGAGCGATTTCGCTGTGTGTTAGCGATTCCTTTGTGAGGCTGGCGAACAGCTGAGAGCTGCAGAGCAAAGAATCTGAACAACAACAACAAAGCTGGAAGGAAAGTACTGCCTATTTACGAAACAAGTCACCAAACTGGGAGGCAGGGAGGCAAGCAAAGGGCTGCTCACAAGAAACTGGAGCAGAAACAAAATATTCAGAGGAGGAAAGGGGGGGGAGAGCCAAGGCTTTAAAAGATAAAAACAAGTGAAAGGACTAGAGAAAGGAGGATTAAAAAAAATAAATCACAAATCAAGTGATGGGAAAGCCAGAAAACAGGGAATACAGCTCAGCAACAATAACAAGCAGCTCCGCGCTGTCCCGGTCGCGATCATTGTGCTGGGATGGGGCCCACGTCTCCAGCCCCAGGCTGTTGT